TCTATTTTATTCCATTACACTAAAATATTTATTTTAAATTTTGTGAGTATGAGTCAATAGATGGATAGCTAATAATACTGCAACATAACTATGGTACAGATATATATAAAAAAAAATATAGATACATATAAATATAATGGCTTTCTAGCTCCATTATTTTGTTCAGCTAACATGTATACATTAGGTACCATTTAATTTAAATGACCATGCAGCAAACTGTTACTGTAATGTTTAGGGATATATTTCTGCTCCTGGGCATTACATTGTGTTTGTCAAAGTTTGAACAAGCAGCCAACTTGGCCAATTTCATTGCAGCATTTTAAGTCTTTGTTGTGTACTTCTTTCTGGGTGAATTTACTATTAGTTCTTACACGTAAAGGATCGTTAAATTGGAAAAGATCATTTTTGTGAAAATAAAGCAGACTTTATGTGTCGTTATCACCAGCAGAGGTCAGTGAAATACAACTAAAAGTTTGCAGACAGCTCAGCTTGACGCAGGAGAGACTTGCTGTAGCGATGCAATGATGCCTATAAACCTTTTTTCCTCTGTTTTGAGAAGGCTGACATCTTTTTGATGGACAGATTTTTGTACTGAAGGATATTCGTTTCCAGAGTGGTGTAGTGGAGTTACACATTACATAGCACAGACTGGCATGTTATGTCGTAAAGCAGAGCTCACAGATCATTGATACAAGAGGCCTTTTGTCAAATAGGTGCTGTTTACTTAGATCAACAGGGGAAGGAGGTAAAACGGCGGTGGTGTGGATGATTTGCCTCAAGTGTGATCGTTGGTGCCTTGCATATCAGGTGACATGTTCTGATGAACTGGTTGGTAGGAAAACCAAAAGAGTTATCTTTCTAAATGAGTTATACTATTACAAACACAAAAGGTACCCCGCTGTGTTTTGGGCTCTAGACCGCAGAGGCAACAATTCTCTCCTGATGCACTCATGTGCAAAGACAGGTATATTTATTCTGTTCCTCCATTGGTTAAATTGTTGTCCTCTGCTTGTTGAGGTAATATAATTTCCTCTATTGCCGGAGCCCCTGATTGTGATCGGATGTTGGGAAGTAAAACAGACACAGGGTACATGGTTTTGGTCATCTCATTTAATCAGCACTTCACGTAATCACGTCTCTCTCTTCCAATTAAATTCCCTCTGCCAAGGAAAAAGGCTTCCCTCATCAATTAAGTCATGTTGTAAAACCCACTTCAAACGGGTGACTTTGCTGCGACCTCAGACACATCAAGATCTTGAAAAAAATGTGATTACGGATACTAGGTCGAACACTAAAGACTATATAGGCGGGCATTTGTTTCTAGGTTCTGTTTCCTCTAAGCTCAAAGATAAAAAGACTTCTTCTTTAACTGATAATCTCCTCCTGGTGAAATGAAGCATTGCCTCAATCAAGGAAAGTGGAGGTCTGCCTTCTTTCAGAAAAGGCGGCTAATACTGATTAAATAGTTTTTGTGTTTCTTGTCTTTACATCAGCCAAAGCCAACAGCAAAAAATAGCTATTTCACATCTCGCAGGAGACGGGGTACCTATGGTACCGAAAGTAAAGGTTAATTCATATGTTAATGAATTAACATTATGAAAGATGCATCTGGTAAAGGTGGAGCAGATATGAATCTGTATATATATATATATATATGTATATATATCTATATGTATATATTTTTATATATATATATATATATACAGATTCATATCTTAGTATTCAATAATAACAAGGATGAATTAAATCCACATTATTTCCAAAACGTATCAAGTATCATGAAATGAAGTACCTCCACATTGCAGTACTTGAGTAAATGTACTTTATTATATTCCACCGTTGTTCCAGGGAACACTACACACTACAATGAGTAGCAACGTCAGCGCAGCAGTAAACTTGTGAGTTCACCGGTATCTTAGAATAGCCAATAGAAACAATGGACACCAAAAGACCAAAGTTGCAATTAACCCGATTTCTCCTTCTCCCTATCATTTTTATTCAACAATTATTCTTATAGCAGGCTCCCTCATGGCTTATAGCAGAATTATAACCAAAGGTCTACTCTTCCCAAGTTAAGTTCTAGAAAGTTTTTCAGATGAGTCTCAAATCTCCAGCTGCTTTTTCACTTGTAGACGTGCATTGGCACCCTTCAATAAGCCCAACGGAAGGCCGAGTTTCCGTCCCACGCTCCTCGGCAGTCTTTCTAATTGTGGTGAGGAAGCAATTGATGTGCAGCAGCTGCATCCTGTGACCAACGCTTCGCTCAGCCATTTGTCTCTGTCGGCTCCGCCCTGGCCCCGCCCACGCTCACGCAATCCCCTAAAAAAGTGCTGGCAGCTTCAACTGTGACTAGCCAACCACTAGGCCTTTTGACGGCACACGTCGGCGTTCAATGCGCCCTCAGCCCCCCTTCTGGTCAAGCCCAGTTTGACTCGCGAGGAGTGACACTCCAGATGGCAGCTGGTTGGGCAGCAGCCATGGTCAAAAACCTGCTGCAACTACGTCATGGCCATGCCTGAGGGCCCGCGGCAACATCTGCCCTCACAATTGGGCAATGGAGCGGAGCCAGCAAAACGCATTCAGCCGCTGCACGCCAGCATCACTCAGCTGGGCAATCATCCTCTTCCTCTCTCTTGTCTTTATCTCCTGTCCTTCCTCTTTTCAGCCCGATGGTAAGCTATTAGGAAAAAGCTACCCTGTCATTTACTCCCCCGGCACTGAATGGGAACCAAAAGGTGTGCTCGGAAAAAGGATCAACTTAACCCTCGTCGAGAGGAACAAATTCAATCCGGTGCTGAGGAGAGGAAGGAGAGCAGGTGTTTCATTGAGAAGTTAAAAATGTCCTCTCTCGTAGTGGTTGGCAGGCGCTCCCATCTCTCCAGGGCATACTTCTCATTTTGAGACATTGACACAACTCAGCGGCTCAGTTCTAACTCTTTGTGCTCTGCTGATGTTCTACAGTGGCTTTGAAATGCAACGAGACTCATCTTTCCCCTGTCTCTATCAATGACTATGAGCCCAAACATTACTCCAAACTAAACATCTTCTGCATTTTATTCACCCTTTTTAAGGCATACTTTGTGACAGCAGCAAGGCCAAAGTTCTATTGGAGGAGAAGCATATCCACGCTCGATGACCGGAAGACGAGCGTTATGACGTCTACTATGAATCAGTTTGTACTTGAGTTTGAAGTGGTTCAGCAACCAATTTTTTTTCAAAACAAACAGTTCTTCATTTTTCAACATCTACCCTTTAAGATATTATGTGCCTTTTGTGATTGAAAATGCACTCTTGCGTTAAAAATGTTTATTATCCTGTAAACAAAAAAAGGCCAAAAAAACTTGGTTAAATATTAGCCTTTCAAAAGTCAGTCAAGAATTACATCTAAACGATACACCATGGCAAACATAAATCTGCATGTGAAAATAATGCCCAGCTAAATGAAGGAATTATATTGAGATTATACTATATTTCATTTTGCATACTCTAGTAAAGAAAGTTATACATTTTGGCTAATTGTTTTCTAAAACACAATATGTTTTTTATAATAGCGTGTTTTCCAATCTTTATGTTTTCCAACCTTGCAGACCGTATTCATGGAAATCAACCTGAATCACATGTCTTTAGTTGTCTTTAGTTTTCTCAGTGTTCCATGATGAGTGGAAAGCATCTTCCTTATGAATAAATTATTTAAAATGAAGTGAAATCACATTTAGGCATATATTGTTTTAAAAAATCTATTGTGGGTGCTGCAAATGTGAGGTCAATATTAATTATTTTTGACTACATTTGGAAAGAGTTCAGTGAGCATTCTTCTAAATACTCACTTCACTCAACACAGAAACATTTTGTGCAGAGCATGCATTGTCTCAAATCCTCTAGGTTACATCAACAACAATGTTTTGTTGGAATAATCTTCAGACTGTTCTTTTGTTTCATCTATTAAACATTTGACAGGATTATTTGTATTTTGAAAAAATAAGACAAGAGAAATTACAAAAAAACACACATATATAAATACACACCTGAGGATTATTTGCTACACTGAACTATACCATTGCTTAAATGTAATCAGCTTTGACAAAGGCGATGGTTGAGTCACTGCGTCCAGACTCGTCAGGTGGGATGAAGTCTCAAACAGAGACAGGGCTTTGTGTTCAGGAAACTGGAAGTGTTATCATAATTTCAGTTTAAGGATTTGTTCATATGACGGTGTAGTGGTTTTTAGTACGTGGTTCTGTACAATTGACAGTGAGAAACTGTTTTCTTTAGTAATGACGCTGAACAATGGAGTGCTGGCTGTTAAGTGTATAATATGTTTTATCGCCATTGGCACCATGATGGTCCGTATATTTAACAAAATATATTTTTAAGTTATTCATGTGAAAATCACAATATTGAATGATTTCCATATTACGGTTACAATTAACAGTGATCAAATGTATTTCTTACAAGATACGAATGCCAACATCATTTTCTGGGCTGACAAATGTATTTACGGTGTTACACTGTCGAATAAACTGAATTTAACCAATTTCAATTTAACAGTCTGTTACTGACAGATTTTAGTGACTTTTTTTACAGTGCAGGTCTTTCCCTGCAAGTATGTGAAGTTGTGAAGCACATTGTTTGGTGCAGATATTGGAGGTACAGTACAATTTACGAAAATGCAGTAGGTGAAGATTCTTATTGGAATCACATGATGAGAACCAGCTGCTGTTCCGTATGGTTTCGGGTTCGAGGCTCTCTAGTTGGGAGCTGCATGGAGTTATTGGCAGCAGGGTAGTGGATGTCAGCTCATTCATCTACATCTGGCGATCGAACCAGCAACCAAGCGAGGAGAGAGAGAGAGAGAGAGAGAGAGAGAGAGAGAGAGAGAGAGAGAAAAAAAAACTTGGCTTTTTTATCCTCCGTGCGTCTTGGACCAATCTCCTCTCGTTTTATGCGTTACTTCCCTGCCTAGCCCACCCTTCCTCCATCTCCATCCCACCCTCCCTCATCTCTTTCCCTTGTCCCTCCCCCCTAGAGCCAGTATCTGTCCTTGGTTGTGTCGCGGGCGCGCGTTATAAAGCTGACAGCTCCCCCACTTTCTTCAGATCGGAGGACTCCGACCTGCTGTGCGTGCCAAGCCGTCTGACAGTCGGGACTCTTCCACGCCACGCTCACTGCGTTGACCCCGCCGCTCTTTCTACCTGGATTAACTGGCCAATAGCCGCCGCCTGTCGCCCCGCTGTCCCTCTACTTCCATCGGGGCCCATAGCAGCAGCGTCTTCACCGGCTCCTCCGTTCTGTCCCCCGCCCCAAGTCTCCAACTCTCACCTTTGTTCCGCAGTCATGGGGTGCGTCGTGTCCGTTTCGCCCGGGCTGCTGAGGGGCTCCCCCATGCTGTGAGCCGGATACCGGGTGGATTTATGGTCCGTAGACCCGCAGCTACCAACCGAGGGACGTTAGTGGAACTTTGAACTCCGAGAGGATGCGGGTGACGTGCTGGTGCGCCGTGCTCCTCCTGCCGCCTGCACTTTTCCTGGTGAGTCTCAGCCTTCTGTACTTAGAAGACAACTTTTCTTCCACTTTGCTCTATGCTGACAATACGCTTAGAGCTATTTTCTCACAATGAAGTCGCTTTAACACGATTCCAATATGCACGTTTGGTAGCACGCGCATTGGAGATGTGCGGCTGTTCGTTTAGCTGCCCAGTCTGGAACAGCTTTTTTTCAAGTGTTTGGCAGTAAAAGTTCCCGCAAACCCGTTCAATGTTCCCCCTGCGTGTAAAGTGGAGTCATTGTACAGCAAATGGGGTGTTCATGCAGGGAAAACATGATAAGTCAAATGAAAGACGGTTGATGATATTTAAATGTTTTTGTTTGAATGCTGAAACATCTGATGCCGGAAACAAGGGAGGGGAGGGGGTGGGGGGTTGGGGAGGGGTACGGCACCGGCAGTGAGACCGTCTCATGGGGGCGCCATAATAAACCGGGGAACACATCTTCTGGAACGTGAGTGCGGCTTCCCGCGACGCACTCCAAGTCGAGCCCCGTCTGCCTGTTTTTTAGACAGGAAAATGACTCATATGTATTAGATAGCGGACTTTTCGGTTTAGTTCAATACTCTAAAAATCAATTCAACCAACAGCCAGCAGGTAGGAACAATCGTTATCCCGAAATGAGGAAACTGGTTTCCTGGGTATAAACATATACCCTAATAATACATAGTTTAGTTGAAGTACTTTCTCATGTTTTAATTCACACACCTAGTGGGGCTTTACTTTGGTATTTTAATCTGTTATTATTATGACGGAAATATGATATCACTTTCCCATCCAAACAGAGAGAATGATAATATTAAAAGAGGAAATAAATTATATTCTCTCTCTACTATTTAGATCTCAGGTATATCAGGCCTGAAAGCCTTGATCCAGCTCTACTTTAATTAGGAATAGACCTTCAAGATAAAAAAGTGTCATACTTAAAACATAACAAAAAAAGATATCATATAATGGTTTTCACCTCAATGCCTACAACTGTAATCCCTTAGAATATTGAATAATTTTACGTATTAAAATGAATATTAATGCCGGTAAGATTTATTGTTGTTATGAGATTATACAGGTATTAACCCCTTGTGTGTGGTTAGCAGGCCCAACAATTATAGTATGTATTTTAATTCAAAACACATATTTAAATGAACAAAAATACGTGTAAGTAATATTTAAAGTTGCTCTGTTTGACCTATTTTTAAAACATTGTCTGACGCGAGACACTTCTCCTGCGCTGCCTATCTGCACTACATTCTTAAGCAGGACGTAATTTATATACAACATTCATTTTTTTGTAATTCTGACTGATCACAGAAACGTGTTAGTGTGTTTTAATGCTGTGCAGTGATGATGACATCCACTCGGTTTATCTACTAACTCCTCTCCGACCCCCCCTCCTCGCTCCCCGCCCAGAGAACACCGAGTTTACGTTACTGCTCGCTAAAAACTGCGGGGATTAGAGTTGAACTTTGGTGGCTTTATTCCGTGTTAAAGGCTTTTGTCTCCGCTTAATCCTCTTGTCTTGTCTAAGAGACGCACCTTGACCCCAGTAGAGAGCGATACGGCAGGCACCGCGGCGCGGGACGATCACCTCCGGGTTTACCGGGATCTCAGTGTACATTTGATTGAGATGCATGTTCGTGGATAAACGTGCAAGGGGGTTGCGTCTAATTCGGCTTGTTGTGTTCACACAGTTTAATAATCCAAAATCAAAAAGCTTCAAATTGACTTCAATTTAATATCATTTAATACCATATAATTGAGAATTTTGATATTTTCCCCATCCAAGTTGTCAGATATTTTAGTCATTCCGCAGTGTATGTTCTGTGGTGAACATCTGGCTGAAGGAGGATAGACATTTTTCTACTCTGAAATACCCGTTCTGATGTTTTTTTTGCCTAAAACACCAGTGTCTATTTTTTTAATTTATAATCTATATGTTTTTGTCTATTTACATGGTTTGTAGTTGTGTAGGTTGGTGTGAATTTGCTAAATTATGTTGTTCTCCTTTATTTGCCCTAATTTAAGTGTTGACACTGCTGACTTAAAAAAAAAAGTAAATCTATATGGGCCTCGTGGCCCATATAGATTTACTATATGGGCCCCCCCCCCCCCGCCTCTCCCTCTAGGCTTTCCTCTTCCCGGAGTGCAGTGGACCACTGGTGACACATTAAAGTGTTATTATCACACGGTGCAAATGGGGCCCGCAGTGTCACGCAGTCCGCCCGGTGGGGGGGCAGAGAAAGTCCCACTGAGATCCCCACAGCAAAGCTCACACAGTGTGACTCCCCCCCCTCCCAAGTCTTCCCAGTTTCAGTCCATGAGCTCATAATAAAACAAAAAAAAATGTTTTTGTTGAGCTCTTTGAAGCCAAAATCAAGAACGGGCCGGTATTAATTCAATTATATACAGTAGCACAGGCATTCGCACAAATCTCCCACGTGCTGGGAGACCACACACACACACACACACACACACACACACACACAGATGCTCGAACAAGTGGATGGTGTGGTAGTCAGGTGATATTGCTGGAGAGTGCATTTAGAGGGTTGTGACTCTTTTTCTCAGCATAGATGTTCAACTAAGTGAACATTTCTCTCAATTCAGCCGCGTGCTGCTCAGCTTTTAAGCAGCATGGAGGCGTCACTTTGGAGCTATTCAAGATCTGAGTACAAAAGGACTGAGAGTTCAGTGTCAGAGAGCAACACTTCAACAACACCCCCCACCACCCTCCCTCACCATCTCGGCTCAGCGCGGTCACCCGCCTCTGTCACCGACGCGGTTTCTTCCCGGTGAGACACGTTTGCCGCCAGCTGCGACAAATGCTTTTATGTACATGGGGGCTCTCAAAGTGGGGGTTTAAGTGGCCTTTAAGTGGTCAAGAGATTTCTTTATTGAAGATGAAACACAAACTACGCATTTTACATGTGGTGTACTATGTATACGGTATTATAGATATGTATGGGAAAGAGAAAATATATGTTTGATGTTTAAGACAAGACTGGAGCACCAACAAGATGATTTTTACACTATCATCTATTAAGTATGTTCTAAAATAATGTCATATTTTGTTTAAACCTCAAATATTGATATAGTCATCAGCATGAAATCTAAATTAATTCATTTTTTTATGAATAATCTTTTGATTTTCATTTATTAATCAATGATTTATTCTGTCTATAAAATATACTTTTTTGAAAGTTTAACCGAAGAAATCACCTGAGCATCAGTCCAAATCTCAAATATATTCTGTATAACAAAATGTTGGGAACATAGTTTGGCTTGAAAAATGAATTAAAACAGATTTATTGATCTACTAGTAATATCTTTGAATTGTTTAATTGTATTTCCCTCTGCTTTAAAGCAGAAATTCAAAGTAAATATTGAAATGAGAGAAAACAAAATCAGGCTTTTAAAAGAGAAATTCGTTTGAAACTGGGTTGTCTGGTGTGAAGTTTACCTTTGACCTCCAATCAGAGTGCTGCTGTGAGACTGCCCAGGAAGATTGATGGTGCACAACTTTGGAATAGACGTGTGAAGGTTACCCAGTCTTCTTCCAGTGCTTTATATTGCCTCAACTGTAACCTATATGTGATCCTGACTCGGAGTCCTGCCCCCCCCGAGCTCAGCCCAGCCACCCCAGGGGCCACACGCTTCCTCAAGCAACCGGAACACTTGACCTTGGTTTTTGGCCATAAAGTCAATGATAATACCACCAACTATGGCGTCTGGAATGGGCACTTTGGGCTCCTGGTTATTTTTCTTCGCAGCATGCAACATTGCGGGGATGCCTATTCGGATGGGGAAGGGGGTCAGGGAGGTTGGGCTGAGGAAAATCCGCCTCGGATTGGGATCTTTCATAGGGTTTAATTGGAATTCTCCCTCAAAATATTCCCAGAACGACACCCAGTCCGACTTGAATGCCTGAATGTCATCAATGTGTGTGTGTGTGTGTGTGTGTGTGTGTGTGTCTCACGGAATGGTTGTTTGTGCGTATGGACAGTAGTTTTGAGGTGACGTTTGTGATTAATGGCCACAGACTCCATTCTCTCCTCAACGAGCTGCTCCACATTTCTAATCGCATCCACAGTTCGGAGGTCAAAGCTGGAGCTGATCCCTGAAAGACGTTCTCTGAAAAACCAGCCCTAGCTCGCGACCCGGGTTTGATCCTGAGGGAAACTTCACTCCCCCCTCTCATCTTCTCCCCTCTTTCCTCTTCACATTCCAATCCTTCGCAATTGATAGCTGCACTTTGAAGTGGCGAGAGAGAGCGGGAGAGAAATGTCTCTGAAGCAAGTAGATAACCTCGTCCGACCTGCTTTACATCTCTAGGAAGTCCTCTGGCTGTGGAGTCCATCCCTGCCCCCTCCAGTTCCCCATGGCTGCATTAGTGGAGCAGACCTCCCTAAAAATCACCTGCTTTCCTTTTTTTCACCTTGTTTTTTTACATGCAAAAATGAAAATGCAGAACTGTTGATCTGCTTTATATTAATAATGAATTCAATGCATGACTTGTGTTATTTTCTAGTCTATTTCGATTCCATAACATGTTTTCTTTCAACCTTTTGGAAAGAAAACCTCCAGATTACACATTAGGATTTAGTGTCATGGTGATATCTTTTAGTTTAATTAGCCACCCTGTATAATTGTTTTTACACAATGTGTCTTTAAAGGTTTTTTTCTCTTATACAGAACTTTTTCCTCTTCCATTCCAATCTACATTCCAAGGGTTTTTACAGAGGGTGTTGTTCTTATATTATTCACAACCTGATTTATTTATTTATTTCTCCCTCATACATTTGAAGTGTTTTCTGAAGAGGGAAGTGTTTTTAAGGGGGGGGGGGGGGGGCGGCCTTTACTGGGTACTATCTCAGCACTCTTATCAACCTTTAACCTTCAATTTGAGGAACAAGGCTCTGAAAAATCCCCTGCACAGCAAAGGCGAAGCACCAAACATCAGACGGACAGTTAATTACAGCAATGTTTTC